TTATCTATAAAAGTAAGTAATAAATACTTACAATAATTTATCTATAAGAATTATAGAATTCGATTTAGTTCAGTGCATATTAGCATCACAATTATTGTAAACATAACTTTAACCCTGTGCCAGTGCCTTATATTGAATAGTAACTGGTTACTCTTCAATCACCCTAATCTCTATAAAAGTAAGTAATTTTCACTTCTAATAATTTATCTATAAAATTAATTAATTATTACTTCCAATGATTTATTTATAAAAGTAAGTAATAAATATTTCCAATGATTTATCTATTAAAAAATACTTTCAATAAATTCATACGTTCCACATCTATAAAAGGTAAGTGTAAGTAATTAATACTTCCAGCAATCTATCTATAAAAGATGAGTAATTGATCCTTTCAATAAGTACTTAATACTTTAAATAATCTATAAAAGGTAATTAATACTTTCAATAATTTATTTGTAAAAGGTAAGTTATTAATACTTCCAACAAATTATCTATAAAAGGTAAGTAATTATTCAATTAAATTTCAATAAGTAATTAATACTTTCAATAGTGAATCTGTAACAGGTAAGTAATTGATACTCTCAATAATTTATCTGTAAAAGGTAAGTAATTATTACTTCCAATAATTTATCTATAAAAGTAAGTAATTATTACTTCCAATAATTTATTTATAAAAGGTAAGTAATTATTACTTCCAATAATTTATCTATGAATAGTAAGTAATACTTTCTTAATACTTTCAAAAATTTATTTATAAAAGTAAGTAGGTAATTATTACTTCCAATAATTTATCTATAAAAGTAAGTAATTATTACTTCCAATAATTTATCAATAAAAGTAAGTAATTATTACTTTCAATGATTTATTTATAACAGTAAGTAATAAATAATTCCAATGATTTATCTATTAAAAAATACTTTCAATAAATTCATACGTTCCACATCTATAAAAGGTAAGTGTAAGTAATTAATACTTCCAGCAATCTATCTATAAAAGATGAGTAATTGATCCTTTCAATAAGTACTTAATACTTTAGATAATCTATAAAAGGTAATTGATACTTTCAATAATTTATTTGTAAAAGGTAAGTTATTAATACTTCCAACAAATTATCTATAAAAGGTAAGTAATTATTCAATTAAATTTCAATAAGTAATTAATACTTTCAATAGTGAATCTGTAACAGGTAAGTAATTGATACTCTCAATAATTTATCTGTAAAAGGTAAGTAATTATTACTTCCAATAATTTATCTATAAAAGTAAGTAATTATTACTTCCAATAATTTATTTATAAAAGGCAAGTAATTATTACTTCCAATAATTTATCTATGAATAGTAAGTAATAATTTCTTTATACAAGATAAGTAATAAGATCTTCCTCATAATTATAGAATCAGTGATGTTGGTCAGTCAATAGCATGTTGGGCTGTCGTCTGCATCATGGTTAAATGCAGTAGATCCTTAAGGCAAGTAAATATATCTGATTCCTTTATCAGCATTGGATTTAGATAGTTATTTTTATATTTCAGGTAAAAATGTTTGGACTTTTGATACAAGCAGCTTTGGCAGCAACAAACAAGATGGCAACCGGAGAGTTGGACGTGGCAACAAAGGGAACAAATCAACCAATCTTAATACAGTCTGTGATACATCACCAACTACACCAAACGCTCCACCTCCCAAGAAACACTGCAGATCATTGTCTGTGCCACCAGATCAGTCAATGTCGCCATGGCAACCGATTATATATAAGCCAATTCCTGTGATTTATAACAAAGATTTTAACCTTCATTCCACTAAATTTAGTGCTCAAGGTCCGGTGAAAGATGCGTCTGCATCAACAAGATCAAATTTTACAAAAAGTTTTTTTCATTCTGCCTCGCCAGTAAGTGTTGACAGTGGTCATGTGACATCATCAGACTTTCAAACACCACCTGGATCTCCAATACCTCGGCCAGCGTCTGCTATGAGTGAAATATCCCATTATTCCTGGTTTGAACACAGTCCTGTCAAATTTGAAATTAACAGATTTGAAATTCTACAGAACCGCAGTCTTTCATGTGAGGATAGAATCTCTAGTGGACCAATTTG